ATAAATGACTATTGAATAATATTTTCGTTTTCTGAATAAAAATAAATTTGAAAAGAAAAAATAATCCTGATTTTAAATTGTAATTTAAAATTTGAGTCGATAATCCAATTAATCGAGGATTTTAAGTTCTTCTTCCGAGAACTTTCCGTTGTTGTTCTTATATTGGGCTTGGGCCAATTTATGTTATTGGGTAATCCCTTTCGGAAAGGCTCATTAAGCAATATATACTCATTTCAACGCAATTTCGCCGGAATTGTATTGTCTTCAACCTTCCTCCATCGTTACGGAGAGATCAACTTCCTCCTTAGGAGAAAGATCGTTCTTATTCTCCTACTCTTTTGGGGAGAGAATCTCACATCTATCTTTACTAGAAGAATTTTCTGCGGTTATAGAACCGAGAATAAATTGTCAATTTTTAACTGTATTGTCATATTGTGTAGCGGTCTCCACAAGGTCTGAAGATGCAATGGGACTCATCTCGATGAGTTTCCGAGGTGTAGATTGTCTTTCAATGTTACAAGCAAATGTGACCATCTCTCAACCTGCTGGCTTTGCCGTAAATGTCTTGTCCCGCATCAGATGTATTTGGATTCGCAGTCGCTCTGTCTTAAAGATTTATCTTCCTTAACTTGTTCTGTTTTCAAGCTTTGTTGTCTTTATCAAGGAGTTTTGATAACTCCAGTCTATCCATGTAATGCAACCCTTTAAGTAACGAGATTTAATGTTTGACAAAAAAAAAAACAAACTAATTTTGATTCATACAACGAGGGAATTTGAAGTGGGCCATTTTGTTGGGCACAATAAAAGACAACAATTTTATTGGACCCAACAAGCAAACTCCTATCTTTTGTATGAAAGCGTAATTACTTTGGATTATGAAACGTGGAAATAAAAATCGAACTAAACAAAGTCTTGTGAAACTTCAAAATCCAAATCATCTTGCTCTTGAGTAAATAATCTTGAATAGCTTAATATACTTAACCTACAAATGTAATTATAATCTCCAAGAAATAAATCAGTACAAAGAAGAAATCCAACAAAACTCAAATTAGAATTGACATTTACATGTTTTTTTTCTTTCTGTAATAAATAAGAAACGTTTATGATGGTATCTGAATCCAATCTTGGAAATAGAATCACACCATTAGATCCACTTGCGTGCCACGTGTTGAGATGTTCACAAAAGATTGGATTATAATAATGGGTTATAAAATAATTGTCAACGCACGCTCTGGGCCCCGTTGGGTAAAACCCGACCCGACCCGACCCGATCCAAAAACCCGGAATTTTCCTGT